CAGGAGGCGCCTTGGTCGGCCGCTAGTCAGCGCAGCTGGTGGTAAAAAAAAGGCAACTTTTGGGCGGGCCTAACCACCGAGCGGTTCGACACGAGCGCTGCGTACGTCAGAGTTCCGCAAGGCACTGGGAGGCTTCGAGATCGGATCCAATTACTACGGCTGCGCGACCCGGGCCGTCTCAGAGTTGCGAACACTCGGCGCGAGATGTCGCCACCCATCAACCAAACGTCCTTCCACGGTTGGTACGCGTGAACTACGTGAACATTCGACAATAATATCCTTTCCTCCTCATACTCCTCTCCCCAATACTTCCGCACCGCTTGTTTATCACGTACCCCTGTTCGCTCACGGTACTTCTAATAGCTGACGTCAAGAATCACGAATTTGGAGCGTTCCTGCTCGCAATATGGAACGCTCCAGATACGTTCCACCGCACTCACAACAATAACATCGACAACACCGTGACGCATTTTCGCGAAGAGATAAAGCTCCCGAACCGAGCGTTTTGCTTTGGACTCGACGCTGGGTCCTGACTTATGGGCGCTGACGGTGACAAAAAGACCCGGCACGTCGATCACGGCGGCTCCTCCCCGGGGGGCGGGGCGTCGGACCGGGCTCCGCCCCCGGCGCCGTCCGGAGTTCGACCCGCGGCCGGCGGCGGCGAGGGCAGCGGTCCCACGCGGCGTCTGGGCGCAGTTTGGACGGAGCATGCTGTTCGGCGTGGTGCACGGGACGCAGGGCCACGGCTGCTGCAAGACTTCGCCGACGCGGCGTTGCGGTGGGAACGTCTCGGGAGCGTCGTCGCCGCAGGTAGGAGGAGCCTCTTTTAGGCAGCGATCACTCTGCTAACATAACATACAAAAGAGAGTCGGCAGATGCCGTCTGAGACGTGTGTTTTCCCTGTACGACACGCGTTATACTGGACATGCACAAAAAAATGCGTGCGAAGTTGTTTATTTATTTATTTACATATACCTCGAGGGCCCCTTTCCGCGTTTTACATAAGCGAGGGTCTAAATACATTTTCCCAATCGTTCGAAGCATACATAATAAAGAAGTGCTCATGCTTCGAAAATGCTTGAGGTGCCTCCGCAGAAAACTATGCCGTCACGTCGGCAGGGGCAGCGAACAGTTTGTCTTTGGCACGGCGAATGAGCAGTCGTGACATCGTCGTGAATGATCCGCGTAAGTCTTTTTCAAGATTTCACTTTTTTTTTCTTTCTTTCCTTGTAATCGTGGTTTTAAAGTCACTGAGAGATACCGAACGGCAGGGCTGCTTTTTAGAACGCGCGACCTCCAGCAGGCGCTCTACGCCTTCGACCGTGCTTTGGGCTGCGCGCGCTCGAGGCGCACGAGAGGCCGAAGCATGGTCGAAGGTAAGAAGAAGCTCGCGCTGGAGGTGGGACGTCCGAAGCTCTTCTCCGCCGTTCTCTGCGTGTCGGTGACTGTGAAGATGTGCGTTTTCGCCGCCTCCGTGAATTCGCAAACAACCCGAATGCCACGGAAAAAAAAAAAAAAAAATAGTTACGCTGTTTTGGGCAACGGCACTTGGGCCATCTTGCTTTTAAAATCATTCTTGCCAATCGTCCGAAAGCTTTCTCTGTAAACTGCCAGAAACGCTTTGCCGTTCTCCAGAAATGTTCGAACAGTACGCGAGCGATGAAATGATATATCGGCTAAGCACCGGGACACCATCTGCTCGAGAAGTGACATTCGTTTTAATCGTAATAATTGCAAATGAGACCCGTTTCAAACGTCCGCGCCATCGCCGGTCCGCCATTAATAGATCGCGTACTCTGAGCATTCATTGGACACGACTGTGACGTCAGCGTTCGGCGAGGATTCGGATCCAATCACGCGCTTTGAATCCAAGCAATGGCGACCGCCAATGTTGCTCGATGGACTTATGAAAGGGGTTCTATTGCGGTCGCTCTGGAGTCTGCACTAAGCACCAAAATGGCGGCGCCCACGAGAAAACCACGGAACGGAGCAACGAGGCTCTATTTAAGCGTTGCGTATGAATTTCGCTCTAGTGTATAGCGTAGCGGCAGTTGATGCTGCAGCGTTTATTGCTCCCAGAGTTTCGGGCACACGAGAAGTGCTGTTGACATATACAGTGCGCTTCCTAAGACTCAAATCTTTCGTTCTTTTTTTATTTATTTTTTTGTCGAGATACACCACTTTGTGATTTCGTTTTTAGTCTGGTACTGTTTTTTGCCATTGGGTGTAATGCACTAACTAGCACGAGACGTCGTTTTTTTGTTTTGTTTTTTAATTATTGACAGTGCTATTTGGGTTGTTTTTCATTTGCAATATTAGGTGTTTATTTTTAACGAATAAGGAACAAAAACTACACAGGCAGACAATTTTTTTTATTGCTTTATTTCACTTAACCTTCGAGACCCCGTCAGGGAGGTATTTCGAAAAGTAAAAACACTCGTGATATTTAGACAAAACAAATTAGGCACGAACAATACAAAAAGAATGACAAATAAAAGTATACATGGGCAAATAAAATGTATAAAAAAGAACAAATAAAACACTCTGATCACATTTCTTGTTGAAAATGAAGCAGCAATGAATATGGTTTCGCTCCGTTTCTTTCTGGATTGATTTGGGTTAGATAAGGAAACAAATGATGTGAGGAATGCCATTTCCCTCTTTAGCTGCGCGCGGAAAAAAAAAATTAACGCTTATTCTTGAATCAACGATAATTAGCGAGAGATAGAGGAGAGGCTTGTTTATGCCACAATTTTGAGATCATAAAGTTTTTGTTTGTCTCCGTAGTTTCCAAAAAAGCGCCTCTACCGAGTTGGGAAAGTGGACCAAAATTCATACCTCTTCTAAATAATAAAAAACGAAATAAAATAATGTTACATTTTTTTTAGTGTTCGTCCCATTCCACATCGCTGCTTGTTACTAGTTGGTAATTGCCCTCGATAATGGCCCTACAGTTTTGTGAGTTTCTAATTTTCTGTACACTAGATACCTTATATAAGGCCTGCGTCGCGTATCGCAACCTTTTAATCTTTATTGCACTGTGGCTGCTGTTCCTGCAACATCTGCCGTTTCCAGGCCATTATGTTTGCACAATATTTTACCTTAATTTATCATAAATATATGTACAATATTGATCGGAACAAAAAAAAATTGCGAATTTAACAATATATCGGGTGTGGTGTACCTATGTTTTTTATAGTAAATTAAATACAAGGCGCCAAATATTTATTTTTACGGGAGACGGGGTGGGGGTAGGGGCACGAGAATTTCTTATGTTCTCTAAATGCCGATAACGCTCAGATGTTGTGTACTATTGTAAACAATTTACTAACATAACCGGGCGATGAAGTGTACTCGGGCTGCCTGCCTTTGGCACGTAATCTCCCTTACAGTGTTTACCAAGCAGTGTCGCGAACGCTTTTGCTAGTCCCTAACTTACATTCGAATCTTGGAACGACAGATTTCCACCTACAGAAAGTGCGTATGCCTTTTCGGCGTGAACAGCAATAGATTATTTTTATAGCGGAGCTTTCAAGGGCTTATTTCCCCAGTTTCGTGTCCGTGGGCAAACAAATCTCGACACAAAACTCTGGGCAGCTACCGCCATCTATGAGCGACGGCGGCAACCTTTCCAGCCTTTCCACTCTGGCTTGCCAACTTGCGGTCGGCCATTACCTCATTCCCACCGTAGTGTTTCGCTGGTCCTCCTTCTTCACCACAATAAAAAAAACTCTTTTTTTCCTTTTTTTTTTTAAGTAAGAGCCATTTTGTAGTCGTCTAAAGAGCTCAACTGTTTCCACTCTAATGCCGGTGATAACCCAGCTCATCATGAATCAAAGGTTACGTACACAAAGGTCAACGTGCTGAAATCAATTCCTCGCTTTCTGCTTTAAGTTTCCTAAGACGCTCGCTCTTCGTGGTGTGAAGGAGTTGTGCCTATGCACCGTTAGAGCGTCGGATTTGGCTCTGCGCAGGGTGGGTGACTTTTGAAGAGGGTCTATGCAGGAGTAGTTGCGGTTGATTCGGCGTCATCTGCTCTGCTACTTTAAAACTAGTTGACAGCATTCATGGAAAGAAAAGTGCAATGTCGGTTTCCTGGCTTTCACCGTTCAATACGTAGACCGCAGATTTTACGGTTTCAACCAAATAGCACCGTTAAGCATCCGTCGCTGGCAAAAATACAAAATCAGTAAAAGGAAAGTGATAAAAAAACAGTTCGGGTCAATGTACAAAATCGATTAAAATCGTAAAGCGCTGTTTTCTTAAAATGTCTGCTCCTTCTAGGACTGTTTTTGTCAGAACCCTCCTCTCTTCAACTTGGACACTTTGTTTTCATTAAAAAAAATTTTTTTTTTATCGATAATCATCGATTTTAGCGTCTGTTCGAGACAGAACACCAAAATGAACCGATCGATATTTAAAAAAGCAATAAACCTCAAAGCTCATCCTCGGATATTTTTTTTTTTATAAACATCGGAATATTTGCGACCTAGTGATACGTAATTCGAAAAAATTGGTACGCCCGCATTAAGTAAACATGCACCCTGTCTGCTGATTTGCGTTCGAGGTCTGATGAAATATTTCAAGGTTTTATGGTGTTTTACGTGTTAGCCATCACTCGAGTAATTGATTATTAATTTTATCTAAGGTGCAATGTGCCTATAGCACAGGAAAGAGGCATCATGAAATAAACTAAAAACAAATAACTGAAGCATCGTTATACAAGGTTTTAGAATTTATTTCAGAGAAACCGGTTAAAAAAAAGACGTAGAAGAATGTTTTTGCGGTTTATGAAGATGAGTTATACAGCCAGCAGGACATAAGGCAGGGGATCAGTCGTCACGATAAGTAAAAAAATGAATAAAAACTTTGTGATTAACTTTTTTAATTATTA